AGCAAGAGATGGTCTAATTCAAACAAGAATTCAAGTGGCAAGACCTGAAAATCTGTCTTACGTGGTAGATCAGGCTAGGTAATCTTGTCCTTGATCGCACAGATACCGCTGTTTCAGTTCTCCAGTACCTCTGCAGCTGTAGCTCTGACTGTTATACTCCATGTGCCTGTAGTTTATGGAACTGAAGTCTGTGTACATAAAGGTTGTACCCTGTAAATACACGCTGAGATCCAGGGTTTTCAATCTTTGTTTTGATGTACTTCTTTTTGTCTTTTTTTTTTTTTTTAAATTCTCTGATATCTCATCTCATAAGCTGTTTGCCAAATAAAGGCAGTTGGCTTTCTTTTTGTCAGGTGAACTACTGCTATTTGTGTGCCTCTGAAAATGGATTTAGATACAAGAATCCAATCTCCCTCAAACCCAAAGACTGAGGATCATTTTCACCCTCATTCTACATGCAGAGTACTGCCTTTTCCTCCCCCTACTGCCATTAAAATTAAATATAGTGTATATCTTCTTGAGGGCCTATCAAACAGAAACAAAATAGGGCATTACCTTGCTGAGTTGGCAGGCTGCAATTTTTTGATGAGAGATGAACAGGATAATTAGTATATTGCCTAGCCTGAGAGTAATCCCTAGTTAGTGTGGGTGCAGGCGTGCCCAGCACGAATGGTAAGTGGCTCAGCTTTACTCATGTTGTAATAGTGACTCCTAATTCACAAGCATTGCTTATTAAGAAATTGATACGCTGGTCATCTTTACCTTATTAATTGCAAGTTATCATCTTCTAGAACGTCTGTTGAAAGTTCAGGTTGCCCCTTTTTTTCCATTAGCGTGGTGATTTGTGGTTAGATGCACCAAGGGAGCTTTGTGTTGCAGTGCCTAACTGAGCAGCGTTCCAGTCCTGTGGCAGGAGCCCTGCAGTCTTCTGCCACGCCGTGGGACGGGAGCTAACAAGAGAAGCGTGCATCTCTCCGCATTGCCTATTAAGAAATGCCTTGGAAGAGAGGGTGGGGACGAATATGCCTTAAATACTAATTCTGTATAGAAATGTGTCCATTTAGGATTCTCAAGTATAAGGCCCTTCCTGAATTTAGGAGCCTAAAGCCAGCTTGCTCCTTTCTTCACACTGGTAAGTGACTCTGTGATGAGACTGCGCTCGCGAGAGATGTGTTCTAAAATCCCACTGTGTGGTTAAGCATATAACCCAGGCCCCTCGCCTCGCACCAGTCCGCTACTGTGTTGTAACAGTGGGTGTTTCTCATGCCAACGCCTTTTCTGCCTTTGTGAATTTTCTCTGGTACAGCGAGGAGGAGAATGACCGAGCTTTCTGATGGTTTTGGGAAACTGTAAATGGGCGGGGGTCAGGTAAGCAGTTTGAAATTCCGTGACAACGAACACTTGGCTTTTTATTAGAAGAGGGGCTTTTCGAACAGACCAGGGAACTCGGAATACTCGAGAGCTTTGAAGTGTATGCCTGTGCGAGGGAAGAAGCGGGCTGTTTCCACAGGAGGTGGGAGAGGTGGTTTCCGGTTCCCATCTTTAAATAAGAAAGAGGAACATTTTCAAACGTGCTTCTCCCACACTAATCACTGGGCTCGGTGGTAAATGCCACACCCTGTGCCTCCCCCTCGGGTTCTGTGCTAGTTCCAGTTCACAAGGCAAGCTAGAATAACAGCTAGCAGCTTAGCCTCTGAGCTGGATTTGAATACAAGGGTAGTCAGGAATTATGGAAGCTGCTGAAAGTCTTGGTTAACAAGCTGATTAAGGCTGGAAGATGCTTTTCCCAGAACATTGTGGAAAATATTTTGTTCAAGTAACGAGCAAATGAAATGGGAAGACTCAGTAGGAGACTTTGAACTACTTTATTGTCATAATCTGTAGGAAGACACAACTAAATGTTATCATAGAACCGTAGAATCCCAGGTTGGAAGGGACCTCAAGGATCATCTGGTCCGGCCTTTTTCAGCCCCTCAACCAACCTTTGCTAGGCAGCGTTCAGTCCAGGACATGAAGTTCTTCCCCCTTGTGGTCCCTCTAGAAGCCTTAGTGTGAATAAATGGGAACAGCTAGGTAAAAGCTCGCTCGGGGTAGACAAATGGCCCGAGAGATTAAGGTGCACACGCTGCTGTGATAGGGAAGGTGCCTGAAGAAACAGCGTGGAGAATTTGAACACAGAACAGAAGAAAGTGAGCACAAGGGCGGCTGACGTACGGGCAGGCCAAGGCCTCTGCTTCGCGTATGGTGCTCTGCTGAGGGATCTGTTCGTCTTCCTTGTGGGCTCTCTTGTTATCAGTGCTTTGAATGAGAACGTTTCTCCATGGATTGAATAAGTCTACAGCTACTGGTAGCGTAGGGCGGTTTTTCAGCATACTGTTCCAGTCCGTGTATGACCTCATGGCTGTAAACTGTACCATCGTTTGTAAGGCAGGTTAGGAAATATGAACTGATCTTGCCTGGGCTCGAGGGGGTGTGTGTACACGTGCATGCATGAACACACACAAACGCGTAAGCAGGGAATGGTTGTTGAGTAGTCAAAAAAAACGTGTTAAAAATGGTTTATAAAATAACCAGGGCATGCTGTTACCTTCTGATTCCTGAGTGCTGTGTTTCTGTCATTAAAAAACCAAAAAGTCTCGAGCCCCTCTTTTGATTGGGGGTGGGGCAGGGCAGGGTCTTCCCTGTTTTCACAAATGCCTGGTCCCGTGTTTGTTTTCTGACCTTGGAGGCACTTTTGATGCTTGGTTTATGACTGCTCATAATCTTTCATTTCCAAGGGAAGGGCTCTTACGCACTGAGCAGGCGCTTTGCCAGGGCTTCATGCAGACCCAGTATGCTGGGTGCTGGGTTTCTTGTTCAGTTCCTTTCAGCCCCAGCGTAACTTCCAGAAGGATTCCGACAGGCAGAGGAGGAATCTCTGCAATCGGGATTCTAGAAAAAGAAATGTCAGCCAGATGAAGCATCAAGGAAAGAAACCATGTCTCTCTCCTGGCTCCCGTCCTCCTGGTTGTGTTCAAAACAGCTATACCGCGTCCGGCGATGATGCTGACGACCTGTTTTATTTTAAATTTGTGTAAGGCACGCACCTAAGGCAGCTCCAGTCTGGGGGGGTTCTGTTGCACAGGCTGAGCATAGGAGCGCAGCACCAGCTAAAACAGGGTGAGCTCTTCTGTCTGTGAAATGAAGTGGCCCCGTACCGGCCAAACCCTCCAAGCGTCGGCTGCTCAGAACTACAGACCAGAAAGTGATAATACGGCCTGTCCACGCAGAACGCGTTACTACGTACCCTAAGGTGGTTTTGAGGGCAGTTTGTTGACAATTTGCTTGCTTTATTTTGCTTACAGAACTGACAGCTTGACCCCAACAAAATTCCTTGTTGCTGTGCTGCAGTAGGCTGTTAGAGAAACGTTAGGTTACACACCAGCCTAGAATAAACTAAACCAAAAAAATTAAGGCTAGTTATGAATAAATCTGCCTCCACGGAGGCAAACCTACTGGCTTAAACCAGGCGTGCTTAGTCTAGCAAGCAGGGCACGCTCGTCAACGTATGCCAGCTCTCTTGCTGGTCTGGCCATGCGAAGCAGAGGTTTGCCTTGCCGGAGGCAGGTCCGGGGCTAGCGCAGGGCTCGGGCCCTGCGCCCCTCCGAGCCTGGCACCCTGGGGGGCCGCCCAAGCTGCGTTAGATGGGTGCAGACGGTTGCTCAGCACCCAGGCCAGGCAGGTCGCTCTGGACCGGTCCCGCCCCACGCCCCGTCTCCGTCCCATTCCCCCCGCAGCTCCCCTTGGGCTTTTTTGTTCCCCCCTCTCCCCCTGCCTCTTTTCTCCATGTCCCTTGGAGGAACGGTAGATTGAGACCTGCCGCTGACAGCTCTGCTGCGGTACAGGGCTCGTTCATAACGTGCCAGCTTTGCCAGCCCAAGCGCCGCGCGTTTTACAGGCCCCACACCGCCTCGCGGCTTTGTTCCCCTCGGGAGGCTCCGTGTGCCCAGAAGGCACCAACAGGCCTGCTGCCTTCAGCGCGGCGCCGGCAGCGCTGCAGCGAGGCCTGCAGCTGCAGGAGGTGGCAGCGTGCGCCGGAGCAGGGGCACCGAGCATGCAGTGATGGGAAGTGCACCCAGAAAATAGCCCATGGGGAGATAAATATTCAAAGCTGAGCTAAGCTTTACTTATTCTAGCTTAAGCACGGGACGGCTTGCCTTCCATCTCTTCAGTCTATTAAACAGCTGCATACTACTGCTAATTTTTTTTTTTTTGGCTGCTGACATTCTTTAGCGCATGCTGACCGCTGGAACGCCCCGCTGACCGAGCGCCCAGGAGACACACAAAGCCCACGGGGGAAAAGGGTAAAAGGCAGGTAGGGGTCTTGCACGTGTAGAGCTGCATCTGGCTTTGACACACCTCTCCCAAACTTACCAGGCGGGAAGGCGAAAGAATGATCGCATAATTAGGTATGAAACGTTGAGCAGGGAAAGGTTCCCGGACTTGGTTGTAACTTAGCACATCATTTCAGACAACCCTCTCTCAAAATAGAGATTTCATTTTCCCCCCAGCCTTTGGCTCATGGGAGACCGTTACACTTTATCATACTGTATAAAACTAATAATTGTTAATACACAAGGTGGTTATAGCAACTTCTTACAGTTTTACATTCACGTTTTCAAAGTATGGCTAGATTCTTTTCTGCACTGAAAACACGGTCTGCTGGAGCTCAGACAAACATCCCCCATTGTCTGTTAGTGAAGAAGTCGCTGACGTTGCTGTTTTTAGCGCGCCAGAATGCTGTCCTACTACAAGAAATTTATTCCCCGGTATTAAAAACGGGACGTGAAGAGTTACTGAACATACAAGAGGCGGATTGCGATGGCAGCCTACAGAGGTTGCCCCCACCCAAAAATGCAGCATTTTCAGTCTTCAAAACACAGCATGAGAAATTCAATTGCATCCTTTTTATTTCAAATGCAGGATAATTCCCTGAGTAAGCAGCTTTTTACTTAAATAAAACTTTTCCAGAACTTAAAATAAACGTGTGGAACAAGTTCACGCAGCTGACGGTGAGCTGGAGACGGCGCGTTCTTTGGCCCAGGGAAGCGCAGGCCTGGCGGGAGCTCCTTACTGTTCATCTCCAAAGGGTCACACTGCGCTGTCACCAGCCTCCTTCAGTGCCGCAGCCTCCCCCACGGCTACAGCTCCTCTCCGACTGAGCTCTGCCTTTTGAATTACTGTTTGACTACTCTGCCATGAAAGGGATTTTTCATATTTGGTCTTAAAAAGTAATCCATGACCTGAAGAAGCAAGGGTGGAGAAAAAAAAAAAAAAGAAACTGAAATGAGATGACTGCACTGGTCAGCAGAACAGCTCGTTCCTTGTAGTTATAAAGAATGGGGCTGGAATAGTCTGGAAACTCTGCACCCCAAGGCTTTGGAAGCAGAAGAAACACTGTACGTAGAAGGAAGAGCAGGCTTTTAAAATTGTACTATAAAACTTTAGATAGCTACGTATGTGGATTTTAACACACGCCCCCGTAAAGCAAAGATTAAAGTAATGGATATCCATGGGAGACGAGACGTTTGCTCAGTGACTCGCGAGGGCAGCGGCACTTACCCGGACAGTCGGCCGTCTCTTTGAACGCTCTTTTCTTACAGCAGCCTCGGCACATGTTAAACACACATTTATTGCCCTGCGTTGGGATGGGGGTGTAAAGAAGCTTGTATCAGTGAAAATAAAATTATTATTGTTTACTATAATAAGCAACAACAATACAGCTCTGCACATTCAGACCTTTGGGAGAAAAACCATGCCCTTGCCTATCAGGCAGTCACACCTCGGCCTAATGAAGATGACAGAGCTGATCTCCTGGGGGGAGCCCCAGCTATCAGCTGTTCGTACGTAGAGAACAAAAACTGAACCAAAACAAACCACAAAAATTCCACATTCCACTTCTGCAACATCGTCACGCGGTTGGGCAGCCCGAGGCGCACACGGGCAGCGGGCAAGTGCCGTAAGCAGTGTGGAGCAAGCCCCGTGAGAGCTGCTGCAGCTGAGCTGGCTGTAGTCCCCTGCAAAAGCAGGTCAAACACCGTGCCCGACACCTGGCTGCCATCTGTCGCTATGCCTAAAATAAATGTTACCACAGCAATTACGTCCTTATCTGAAGCTTAAACTATACCTGAGTATATATTAAAACCTAATGCATGGTGCTTAGCGGAGAGCAGCAGTTGAGTCGTGGCTAGCTGGCAACGCGGCTGGGCTGCCTGGGGGCCTGTGGGGCTTGGCTCACAGGTGCTCAGTGATCAGCTCGGAAAGTGGGGTTGTGTTGTTCGGCGTCTCTCCCTCCGCCCCAGTGAAAAATTCCTTTATGTTTAGGGAGCCCCTGGTTGAAATTTTTGGTCGTGGTTTTTTGGTTGGTTGGTGTTTTGTGGTTGTTTTTTTTTTTTTTTTTTTTTTTTCCCCCATTCCATGACATAGCTTAGAAACATAGGATCTAGGGAAAAACAAAACCAAAACCCAAACCAGGTCCGGTCACACGAGTTCAAGGGCTGCCTGCAACATGACACTGATGTAAGAGCAAAACAAAACTGAGACTAAGCCCAGCCTCAGCCGGCGATGGCTGACACACCAAGCCGTGCCGCCTGGCTTAGCGCTGAAGCAGGGTGGCTTTGAAAGCAGGCCAGGTGACGGCTCAGTGGTTTCCCAATAACGAACACAGCAAGAAAAAAAACATTTTCTTCTGTAGCTGCAGCTCCAAATTGCGCCCCGGCTGGCTGCTCTTTCTACGGTGCTAGAACCGTGTTACAAAAGAGCGCACCACCCTGTGCCTGCGTCCCTGGCGCCCCAGAGCTGTAATGCTTTTTTTTTTTTTTTTTCAGCTAGAACACAAAACTATGCCTTGCATCTTACAGCCTGCTTGCACATCTGCGTGCACAGCTATGTTAGCAGCAATAAATACACGCAGCAACATCGCCCTGTCAAGGAAACAGCTATGGTCCCCAAGGGAAAACAAACAACAAACCCCAACCAAACAAAAAACCAATGAACTCTTTTCAAATATCAAACAGTTGAACTTTCATACATAACGTTTCAAATACATATACGCTACACACAACCTGGAAACCAGCTGGCTTGTTTAACACTGCTCATGGTGAAAGTTGATGTTAATCTGCTAGCAAAAAGAGCCGCGTGCCTAGGTGCTCATTCTGATTAAGGGCATAGGTGCAAAACCACCAGCCCCCCGCGCTGCAGACTGCTGCCCGCCACCCACTGCAGGCTGCTCTGCGATGGTGGTCAGAGGCCTTGTATTAGTACACCAACAACCGTACCACTTATTCAAATTCTCAATGCTTGCAGAAAAACCCCACCCACCACTAACCCTCGTCAGAGGGGGGTTGTTTTGAATTTCGCAGTGCAATATACGTGTGTAATTACTGGCAGTTTGGAGACTTGGTTCCAAGAGATCTTGGGAAGTTCATCTAACTCACTCAACTCTTAGCAATAAATATCCTCAGCAGCAGAAAGGCGGCATTTTTTTGGAAATGAAGGCAAATGATATCAAAAAGCCTACATACGTTAGTGATTTTTGTGCAGCACCTTCACCTCAGAGATTGGTTACAGTTAATAATTAAGAGGCTTTTGCCTAAGTATGGACTTCTTTCCCCCCACCTACCAGCCTGACTCAGTACGCGTGCCTTACCGGACACTGGCATGGACCTGCCTCAGGAGTTAGAATCACAGAATAGAACCACAGAACAGTTTGGGTTGGAGGGGACCTGTAAAGGTGAGCCATTTAATGGAAATGCTTTCATGGACACGGGCACTGACTTACCTTAGGGTTTCCACATTGATCACATTTTGCATATTTGGCTGGAAAAGAGAGAGACGTGATTTCAGCAATGGTATTTTTATAGGGAAGAAGTAAAGTACAAAAAAAAAAAAAATCAGGGTCAGGCAAAGCTGGTGCTTTTCTAGCCAGAGAGAAACTCTTTTTCTGAAATAAATATACAGTACCTCAAAGAACAGTGCAAAGGTAAAGAAACTTTGACTTTTTAAGTGCCTCTAAGTGAAATCCAAACAGAGAAAATTTTAATCCTCAAGTCAAGTGTAAAAGAGGAGGACATCTGCTTGAACTGCATATGAAACTTCAATTTCAAATATTAGTGACAGCTACAATTTAGTTTGTAAAGTGTTCTGATCTTAAAAAGATGCTTATAGTGGATCAGTGACCTACTTCTTTGATCCTTGTTTTCTTTACATAATTTGAATCACACTGCCTACTATCAAAATTTCCCGATAATCCCCCCTCTTTTTAAAGAAGTTTCTACAAGTACATAAACAAGGAAAATAAAGTAGCGGCAATTTATGTCAAATATGGTATCAGCAACTTTCCACGCATTTATGCCAATAAATGGAACTTACGTTTTAAAGATGGATCAAAGCTTTTATTTGGATTTCTCAACTTCTTTTTTTGCTTATTCTTTGACAGAAGTTCAGAATTTCCATCTTCCTCCTCTTCCAGAGCGCGTTTCCCTCGCACGCCTTTTTCAGTCCCACTCGCTCCATTCTCCTTGCACCTCTCCTTTGGCCTGAAACAGTGAATATCATCCTAAGCTGGCTGAAGGGAAGGAGCGGCTGTTCCCTGGCCACTATTCTGGTTTACAGAAATCTGGGTGAACTGTAAACCCTTCTATCACGGCTAAATTACAAAGAAGTGTCATTGCCCTTAGAAGTGAACAGAAAAACCTTACTTTTTTGTTAACGCTGGCTGTTAATAACAGACACGCTGTTGTATATTGGCTGGGAAGTCAATGAAAGTTGGCCGGTTAAATTAGTTACGTACCTGTTAACCTGTTATTCCCAGGTTTTACTTGAGTATTTACTTAATTTACTGAAGTATTTACTGAAGTATTAATCTTGACATGCTCGTTCTCTTCTTCAGCCCAATTTGCACAACAGAAAGGGAATAAGCTATCTGTAAAGCTTGTCCATACAACACAAGCATCCTTTACAGAATACAGTTTAGTTCCCATCTTTGCTACCCTGGCAGTTACCAGCAACATTCACGTTACGTGTCACAATAAAGTACCGCCAGGTAGCACATCTGTGGCACGTCGGGTTCTCTTTCTCAGCTGCAGTGCAATTCTCGCTTTTTACTTTAGAGAGAGAGAGAACCTGAGGAGGGTCTGAAGGAGAAGATGCATACAATGAGCAACATCCCCCCGAACAAAGCAATAACCAGGAAAAAAACAAACCCAAATAAAAATAATCCAAAGTCTTCACTTATTTTCAAGTGAACGTAAGCTCCTAGAACAGAACCGGATGGCTCTGTTCTGACAGCATGGGTGGGAAAGGCCTAAGGGTACCTGTCCGTGTTAGAATAGATAACTCACCCTGGCCTGATGTATGGCTGACAGATCCAGTGGAAAAAAGGCAACCCTTCTTTTGGCTTTTCTCCTTCTTTCTGATTAGCTATTTCTTCCTGCAGCATAGAGTTACAGTCAGTTTTCCTGGAGTTCTCAAGAAATACTCTAAATAATACTTCAAACTCCAGGAAACTACAAAGTGGAATTTAAACTAACAGTTGCTGACAGCTGAATATACGCAAAAAACCCCAACTAAGACATGAAATGAAGCAGGTTTGTAACTCCTAAATCAACTTTACCCCATGTAAAGCTGTTCAGGCTTAAGGGGCTGCTACTGTAGCAAACTACCAATACCAAGGTTGGCAAGCCACAAAGTTCTAACGCAGTGGCTAACAGACATCAACTGCATGACACGCACGTAAGCTCCCACCAAGTGCAGACAGGGTTGTTCTGGGAAATTAGGGCCCATCTTGGTACCTGGCATCGTAGTTTCAGCTCCCTGTTGACATCTACAATGCCCTCTAGAGTCTTCACTTTTGCTAATTCTTCACGCAGCTGCTGGTAAACTTGAAGCCTGAGGCAAATCCCAAACATCAAGTCATATTTATTCATTATTGCTAGACTGAGGAGATCAACTCAATGTCTTTATAAAAGCTTTTTATAGATTTTTCTTGCTGCATTTGCCTTTGGTAGAAGCTTATCTTCTAAGTCCAGAGACAAGCACACATACCTGCTCCTCTTTTCCAAATAAACACTTGGCACACAACCAAGGCACTTCGAGATAAGCTAACGTGAACGTACAGTGCATCAGCTGCTCCTCCGCAACTGCCCGTGGCCATGCTCCTACTCCACAATAAATGCAAGACAGCTGGCCTCGCAATGAACACCGAGTTCGTTAGCTCGTGTTTGCCACGAAGCGCATGTGTGCGTATGGGCAATTACCACACGGTAGCTGATGCGCTGTGAGCTCGTGCCCTAGCTCATCTTGTGGCAACTCAGTCATTCCCCATGCCCTATTTCCCAGACGCGCAGTGAAGGGTAAAGGCCTCAGCCCACATTCTCTCCAGCCAGGTCCAGGAAAGAAAACCTTGCAGCATACTAATTCTGGCCAAACAAATCCTTGTCCAGAAAAGCCAGACACTTGCTAAGCAGGATGAGCCCTGAAAACATTAAGAGTTCTCTGGAGATACTCACGTGTGATGCCAGAGCTTGAAGAGATGAGCCCTAACATAAGACAATGGACAAGGGTACTTCTGCACTATCTCCAGATATTCCTCAGCCATCTCCCACACCAATGGGTTTCGGCCCTCAAACAAAGCTGGGTTATGAAGATTACCTTCTAGGGAATGAAAAGAAATACTCAAACTTTCATTTCAGGATTGAAACAGAAAACAAAATCTAGGCTCTGCAGCTTGATCAGCTCTGTTGTGCTTCTGCCAGCCAGTCACAGACACATCAGCCACGTACTCACAGAGAGGAACACGGGGTCCATAAAAGTCTCGCCTGACCTCAGGATGCTATATTTCACTATACAATTCTTAATTGAGCCAAATAGCTCATATCTAATTCAAGTACATTTTCCAGAAAGGCATCCAATCTTGACACAAAGACAGTAAAAAAATGAATAAATGGAGAAATCACTGCTTTTGTTGCCCAGTGGTTAAATACTTGGACAACGGGTGTCTTACCTTATGTCTGTATTCACGTTTGTCTGCCCTAAGTTTACAAATACTGCTTCTCACTCTGTTTTTCTCTACTAGTTTCACAAGCCTTTTGTTAACCAGTATTTTCTAAAAATAAGATTCTACAACCTCCCAGAAAATGTTTCATTGCTTTAACTGTGCGAGTGATTGGAAGCTTTTTCTGGTGTCTATCCTAGCTCTTCCTGTAGGAAGCTATGCCAATTCTTTCTTGTCCCAAACCAACAGGAACCATCTGCAGGAATATTCATCAGTGGATGCGCTTACTGCACCAAGATCCATTCAAAAACCATTCCATTAATTAACAGATGTCATGAAAATATTCCAGAACAACAGGAGTCCCATATGCCTTTGTCCAGGAATTAGATTTGAGCTCTCCGCTCAATGGTACTACAAGTCCAACATAACAATTCTTACAAATCTGAAGTGACTCCTGGAGATGGGCAGTATAAGAGGGGAGAGAATGGCCGCTCAGCTTTCAATCAAATCTGTTCACCCAGTCAGTCTGACGTAAGCTTTTAATAAATGTATATGGGGCTGCTAAGAGAGTAAGAAACAGTTCGTATTCTCATCTATTATGAGTAAAAGTTCATTTTCTTTACCTGCACTCATGACACCATGAACTCCCGTCTTACGGATACATTCTTCCACGTCACTGAGACACTGGATGTTTCCATTTGCAAATACAGGAATGCTCACAGCTTTTCTACACCAGTGAATAAAACAGATGCATAAAATTGAGAATTAGAATGTTTAGAGTCAACCCAGAAATTCTACTCCTGTCACACAGATTTGTTTGCTCTTCAATGCCTGTTAGCAGAAACCCACCAGGACTGGTACTGCTCACTAACCTGACAGCTTGAATGTGCTCCCAAGATGCCACGCCAGCAAGGGGTCCTTTCTGTTCTTTAGTACGGCCGTGCACAGTCAGCAGCTAGAAGACAAAGTTACATTTACTTTTCATGTGTATGAACCACTGGAACAAATCCACTGACAAAAATTTCCTTTCACCCCATACACTTCGTGGATGCCACTGAATTCCCACTGCTATTTCAACAGCGCAGGGACTTTGGTATCACAGAACGGTATCAACAGCTCACCTACCATGGCATGGTCTTGGGCTTCTTTCAGCTTGCTATTCCACAGCATGACAAGGTCGTATCTTGGGAGAACCTACAGATTTCCTACTGCATTGGCTCCCATCTGTGATTCACTTTGGAATTTGTGATGTATTGATCTGGCTTGCTCCTCAGCAGAAGGCCTGAATACTGTCAGTGCTGGCTCTAACTACAGACCGTCTCTTCCAATTTAACTGGAGTTAAATCCTAGAAGGCTGCCTGTTTCTTCACTAGCGGTGGCCATCTTTGATACTGTTTTTTTCTGTGGATTTCATGCATTCACACTGCCTCCTGAAGCACTACGTTAGACTGAGACGCTCAGCCACAGTGAAGGATGCCCCACTGCGCCATGATTACAAGAGAGACTCTGAAGTCATGATGTCTTCCGTATCATACTACTGACCCGCTGCCTGTGACTGCAAATACATACAATCTCTCTGCATCCCGTTCTCTCTGTCTGTAAAACAATGTAGCCTATTCACCTCTAGAGTACACCAAGATCTGGTCATCAGATGCTTAATATAGAGAGACGTGCCCAGTGGGAGAGCCGAGGGAGCAGCTGCCTCCTTACCTGGCAGCCAGCTTTCTCCAGCATCTGTGCATACTTCACTGTCTTGTCAATTTCTGGGAAAACGCGGATTTTGCATGTGATGGGAACAGAGAGCTTCTCGTTAGCCAGTAAAACTGGGAAAGATTGAAAAGACAGGTAAGTGGGCTGCACAATGCTATGAAAAGTGCCTACTCTCCTCAAGATCTGATACTGGGTGTGGTATGGAAAAAGCCTGAAAAGTTAATGCTATGTAGTTCTCACAGCTTAAACAATCAGCAATGTCCTCTGCAATCCTTATTGCATAGGTTAATCAAGTAATAGTAAAACATGACACACAAAATCTGCATTCTAACAAGAAGGCATAAAATAGTCAGCATTAATAACCCTACCGTTTCCACTGCATCAAACCTTCACTTCCAAGGACCACCCCCCTCAAATTTTAATCATTGATACAGGTTTACTGTCATCACAGGGTATTCTGCTCCTTCTACTCTGCCAACAACATTAACACTCGCTTGTCTACCTTTCCTACAAATAATCATGACAAGTAGAGTTTTCTCCACGGCAAGCAGAGGCTTAGCAGCCGAGGTAGGCTGTGGACCCAGTTAAGTAGTACATGTAGGTTACGGAGTCAGGGGGAAATCCAGAACAAGATGTTAAACTCCCATAGTCTTTACACAGTGCATGGAATCGGAAAACTACTAAAAAGAGAGCTAACGAAGACAGCCAACAGAAAACACGGAGCAATGGCAGGCCTGAAATTCTCTCCCAGAGCTTGGATGTATAATGTAGGAAGTCACCTGCTTTCTTCTAATCCAAATCCCAGAAGCTCTAATGATAGGTACGTCCTACCACCCTTTCAAAGGAGCAAGCAAGGTGCGTACAGGTGCAAGCAGAAAATAGTACTCTCTCATTTTAAAGAAGGCTGGCGGAGAAGGAGGAAGAGGAAGCTTTGCCCACCTTTTATACAATAGCCTAATAAGACAGCTCTCTTGCTAGACAGCCTGGGTTCTCATCCAACTATATGACCTGGTTCTCTTCTCACCTTGAGGCTGTTCTGATTTGCATCGTTCACTCCTAAGAAAAGTGCCCTAACCACCACACTACATGCTGGGCAGGGAAGCACTGTCTGTCTTTCCAGGTTCTCAGCAGTGTCTTTGTGTCAAACATCATTCAAGATTCCCTGGACGACAGGGAACGCAAACAGAAGAAAGACTCTTTAACTTCACGGTTCAGACACTTGCTTTGAAGTGGGGTGAAGGTGCATTCTCAGCTGTACACAAGGACCAAAACCTTGCTGTTTAAATCGGTTCCGAATGTATTTCTTAAAAAAATATGATACTGCTCACAACTGCTACTGATAGTCTGAAAACATCCTACACACATTTGGAGAAGAGAGGCATAACTTGCTATGGTGTGGACAGAAAGAGTACGCTGAGTTGATCAGAAAAGGGCAACTGTGGCTTCAAGCAGAAACACAACTCCTGGCACCCGAGAACTTCAAAGTGAAAAAAGTAAGGCACTGGGAGTTCTGTTGTTTCTAGAGTTGGAGAGCCACTAAGCCATCATTAGATTGGGACTTAATTGACTTACTTTCTCCTAAAATCTGTTTCAGGTACTGAAGTCTTTTAGCAGATCTAGCATGAGTTTGTAGTAGGATGCCACCAAGTATCTTGAGGGTGCCACTGGAATACAGTAAGGCAAAAAAACCCCACCCAAACACAACCCTCCCCAAAGAAACATGCTGCACCTCCTTTCCCCCCAAATCCCTAGACCTCCTCTCAGGAATGAGTTCACCCCACTTCCTCTCAAAGTGAAGCCTCTCTGAAGTGAGGCCCCTCTAAAGACTTACTCATTCTCTGAAGAAGATGCCACTCCTCTTGCAGGAAT